ACACACACACACACACACACACACACAGTAACACACACACACACACACACACACACACACACACACACACACACACACACAGTAACACACACAGTAACACACACACACACAACACACACACACACACACACACACACACACACACACACACACACACAGTAACACACACACACACACACACACACACACAGTAACACACACAGACACACACAGACAGCAACACACACACACACACACACACACACACACACAGTAACACACACACACACACAGTAACACACACACACACACACACACACACACACACACACACACACAGGTCCCTGTAGGTGTGTATTAGGTGTGTGTGATGCATGCTGGGAGCTAGTTAACTGTCATCATTAGTGTCTCATCGTCTCTCTGATAAACAGTAACAACAATGAGTAAACAAACAAACAAACAAACATTAGAGAGCAGTTCTGTAAACAATGTTACAGTTACCAAATACAGGAGAATGAACCTGAGAATCAACAACAACAACAACAACAACAAACTGTTGGTCTTTATTTTATTCATTACAAGGGGGCGGGGCCAGTGCGTGGTCCCCGGGCGCTGACGCACCGGGCGCTGACGCACCGGGCCGACGGCGAGCGTCGTACACGTTGAAACGGCAGCGGAGGCCGTCAGTGGGAGAGATCGCTCTGATTGGCTGTTCAGCTTCAGCCAATCAGAGCGAGAGGAGAAACCGAAGTGAGCGAAGCAGGAAACATTTTAACAACGAGCAGCAAACCTTCGTCCATACAGCTGTTTTTGTTTTTGTTTATGTCCGCAGTCCTTTTGAATGACGAGTGCAGACTGACGCCACCTGCTGGTGTGGAGGGATATTACATCTCTCGCTGACGATATATAGATATTTTATATATTGATCAGATATCAGATATTTTAGGAACTGTTCTCTGCCTCTCTTCGGTTTTTGTTGGTTTTTTAACGATCATACAGATTCTCCTATGAGCTCTTTGGTCGTTATAACGTTGTAGGATGGTGAGATATCGACCCGCTGTGGCGACCCCCCCCCCGGTTGCATTAATTGGCAGTGAGTGAGCGCCTCTCTTTACCGGCAGCCATTTTGTAAACTTTCTATCTCGCTGTGCACACGTTCACATCCAGACAAATCAGAGAACACTTCAACACACACTCCTCAGCTCAGCAGTCGGTCTGTGCCACACCTGGCAGGAGTGTGTGTGTGTGTGTGTGGGAGAGTGTGTGTGTGTGTGTGTGTGTGTGTGTGTGTGTTACTGTGTGTGTGTGAGAGTGTGTGTGTGTGTTAATTGTGACCCGTGGGCTCTGTGTGAAGTCGTAGTATAATTATCTGTGTAATTGTCGTGTATTTTGTAAAGTGCCAGATCATTTAACTCGGGATTAACTCTTCTCACCTCCAACGGCCGAGGGCGGTGCAGGCACACACACACACACACACACACACACACACACACACACACACACACACAGTAACACACACACACCCAGTAACACACACACACACACACGTAACACACACACACACGTACACACACACACACACACAGTAAACTCACACACACACACACACACACACACACACACACACACACACACACACACACACAGTAACACACACACACACACAGACACACACACACACACACACACAGTACACACACACACACACACAGACACACACACACACACACACACACACACACACACACACACACACACACACACACACACACACACACACACACACAGTCCCTGGTGACACCCAAAGGTGCTGCTGCAATATTCATAAGGATGTAAAGGGGTTCAACCTCTATGTTAACTGATGTCTGCTCTCACACACACACACACACACACACACACACAGTAACACACACACACACACACACACACACACACACACACACACACACACACACACACACACACACACACACACAGTAACACACACACACACACACAGTAACACACACACAGACACACACACACACAGTAACACACACACAGACACACACAGTAGCACACATAGTAACACACACACACACACACACAGTAACACAGACACACACACACACACACACACACACACACACACACACACACACACAGACAGTAACACAGACACACACACACACACACACACAGTAACACACACACAGTAACACACACACACACTTTCTCACTTCTCTCGTTCTTTTTGTTCTCTCTCCGACACATCTTGAGTTAAGGAGGATATCAAGTCGCTCGCCCATCTGTGACGCAGACTGCATGAAGCTGGCTGACACACACTAACACACACTAACTAACACTCACACACACACACACACACACACACACAAGCAGTTAAAACGTGCACTAATTTACATACATATATATTTATACCCATGAAGCACACACACACACACATGAGCTTATAAACTGTACCGCTCATTAAAGGGGACATATTGTTCTTTCCTTTATAATGTTACTATTGAGGTAAACGTGTATAAAGACTGTCACTCTCTGACTGTGTGTGTGTGTGTGTGTGTGTGTGTGTGTGTGTGTGTGTGTGTGTGTGTGTGTGTGTGTGTGAGTGAGGTGTGCCGTCTCTCTGCTCACCTGTGGATAATCTACAATCAAACTCACCTGCCTCCAATCCAGACGTCTCCTCAGCGCTGTCAGAGGCCACTGCAACCCGCTCTGCCTCAGCCCCCCAAACGTCAGACAGCATATTGTGAGCCAGTGGTTCCCAACCTGGGGGTCAGGGCCCCCACTAGGGTTCTTAATTTGAAGGCGTAGTAGAAAACGTATCTCAGGTTCACTTCTGTGAAGAAGTGTATGTAATGTAAATTGTCTAATAGAACAATGTCAGGGAGAATAAAACAGTGAATCTGTCAGTAAAGAAGAATATTAAGTCTGTGTGATTGTTTAAAATGATATAAAATACATAATACAAACTTTGTGAATTAGAGAATTGTATAAAAAGTTCTATAAACAAGAAATAATCTGCTCAACATTAATTTCTATAATCAGTGTGATGTTGCAATAGATTATAGATTCTCACAGTAGGACAATGTATTAGACTTTATTCCACTTTATTTTACTGCTGTATTTCTATATTATACATATAATGATTATAGTAACAGTATTTTAATCTGTTCTGGGGATCAATAAAATCTGATCTGACAATGTCGTATCATTAGAGTATTTTCCCAGAGATCAACAATGTGCAATAATTACAATAATCTGACCCGTAGATGAAGACTGTTCATTGTGATCCACTTTCACACACAGGCTGTTGGGTCGCGTCCAGAACAAACGAGGTGTGTGTCAGTGTTTACATACCACACTGAGACATGATTGGCATTTGGCATGAAGCTTCCTCTGCTAAAAGGATTACACAAGTTAAGCACAGACAGGTCTACTTCAGCTTCTGCCGCTGGTATTTTATATTTATAGAGAAACATGTTGCAGGAGAGTTAGCTCGATAGCACATTAGCCAATAAAACCATCTGGACAGTGCTGAGGGAGAGAGCCTCAACGTTAGCTGTATTATTACACCAAATACGTTTAACTTCATTTTCAAATAGCAACCAAGCTAATGAGCTTCCAAGCTACAGTAGCTGTCTTTAAAGTGCCAACAGGAACTACTTCAACTAAACGGAGAAAGCTTTCATATTACGGCTACACCTAAAATCTACAGGTGAGTTAGCATTTTAGCTCCTCGGTTACCTCTACTCAAATGTGGGTTTTTTTTATTTTGGTTTGATCGCTGAAATAAAGTCTGTAGTTTACACAAGTTCAAGAGATTTTAATGTTTGTTCTACGACATAAAATCCATCAGTAATATCCAACGTGTGGATGTTGAAGCTTTATGTGTCTTTAGTCGGTCTTTAGTCGGTCGCTAACAAGCAGCTCAATGAGACTACAGAGGTTGTACTCAAACTATTCCAACACTTTACAACTTGTAGATTTTAATCACAAATTGAACGTTTATTGGCGGTGACGTTGAAATCACGTAACCAGGGTGTAGTTCATTTATAGCTAACTAGCAGGTTTACGGTGTGCGTGGAGCGGTTTTGTAATCTCTGCGTCATTTACAACATTTATTTATGCGATTGAATCACCGGCTCTCGTGTTTGTGTGCGTCCTACACACTGTGTCCACATCCGTCACCTGGCTGTCACTCAGGTATGTTGATAGATGGCATCAGTGACTATTTGTGTCAGATGGGTTTTAATGGGAGTTTTAAAGAGTAATTTATGGCCACTTGTCACGACCAGTTTACAAACGCCAAATCTTCCCTCCCTCCTGGAGAAGAAAATGCCTTCTGCTACAATCATCTTGCTGCTAAAATACCTGTTATTATCCTCGACAGGTATGAAGACCTACAGCCCGACTCCCTCCACTCACGTCAGGCAGCATACCACCCTGCTGTGCTAGCTCGAGGTGTACTGTCTGCCTGTCTGTACATTTACTACCAGGCCTCGTACATATATCATTATTTCTACATTTCCTTCCTGAAGTGGTCTGTGCTACACGCTGAAGAGGAGCGGTACAAGCAGGAGGGTCGGCTGCGTGCCGACGCAAACGGTTTTAGGTTGTTGTGTTTATTTTATGTTTAATGTTAAAACTGATGAAGATCGCAAGCAGCCGTAAATACAACAGAAAGTTTCTGGATTTTGTTAAAGTTTTAGCTCCGGTAGAGGATAGGCTGTGTAAATATTAAATGTTTATTTTCATAAAATAGTTTTACTGCTCCAATAACGAGCCTCGGTCAACTTCCTCCGTTCCTGTACTAGAAAATATGCTATATGCTAGGCTAACCTATGTTGAACCACATTTTGAAGATGGTTAAAAGAGACGTGCATTGGTCACATCTTAAGTTAGCTAATGTTAGAAAAACATTCGCAAACTAGCGTGCTAATCTAACTGTTTAATTATTTAGATTAGCTAGCTAGTCAACTTGCTAACTAACCACTAACTAAACTAACTAATGCAAATGATTGATGTAGATTAGCTAGCTAGGTAGCTAACTTAAGATGTGAATATGTATGTGTGTATATATATATATATATGTCGCTTTAATGTTGTTCTTTAAAATGCAGTTGTCTTTTCAACATTTTTGAGTTAGCCTAGCACATAGCATATCTAAAACAGGTCTAAATACTAAAATTAGCAGATTAAATTTGTTTTGTTGTTACAGTTGAGAACAAAACAGTGTGAAATAGTTGAATAATTTACCCACAACTGACCTATAAGGCCCAAAGTTAAACAAACAGTTTCTTAATGAAGGAGTTCACCAGGGAACCTGTTTGGGTCCCCTGTGAATGAAGTTTAAACACAGAAACAGCAACGTCATCAGCGTTTGTTTCAGCCCAATAAATGAAGGTTCCTGAAGCTCTTCGACTTCCCAGAGTGTTTTGGGGGGGGTTGGGGGGGAGTCTGAGGGAGGGTAGTGAAGTGTGGGAGGCGTGAAAGGGGAGGAGGGTCGGTTCTTATCTGATCCAGACCACTTTAGGAAGACACCTGTGGCATCCGGGACGATATATTACCACCTAAGTAGCCGTAACCCCCCCCACCCACCACCACCACTACCCCGCCTCAGGTTTAGTGTTGGTGGGCAGAGCTGTCAGACAGCTGCAGGCAGGAAGTGAAGACGACTGGGGGGGCAGTGAAAGGGAGGAAGCATCAGACAAGAAGGTTCAAAATGAAGAAAGATGAAGAGAGAAAGAAAAACAGACGACAGGAAGGAAAAACTAAATTGAATTGAGTGAATTAAGAGACTCCAACAGAAGTTCAGTAAAAAGATTCTTCAGTGATTAACGTGGATTTCTATCGCTAACAGTTAACAACATTAAAGAACCTGGTTCACGTTATAAAGTCAAACACAGACAAACTAATTAGTAGCAGTTAGCTTCTTTTAGCAACTTTCTCCATAAAATATCCAGATTCACCAAAAATCTGTGATCTTAAAGGGTTAAAAAGTCAATCTGATCTGATCCATAGATCGGTTCCAGTATTGATCGTCTGTGTGGAAGCTGATCTGAGCTCGGTGCTGTCAGTGTCTCTCTTTGATCAGCAGATCTTACCTGCTGGACGAGCTCAGAGGATGTTTATTCCACACCTGAAGTGATGACAGGTGTCCTGAGGAGGGGGCTGCTCAGGTGTGTGTGTGTGTGTGTGTGTGTGTGTGAGTGTGAGTGTGTGTGTGTTGGTGATAGACACTCCCTTTGTCTCCAGGTGTGTGTGTGTGTGTGTTTCTCAGGGACACTCATGCATTTCTTCTCATTTATACATCAGTGTGTGTGTGTGTGTGCATCCAGGTGAAGGTGTGTGTGTGTGTGTGTGTCGGGGGGGTATGAGCCCTCCTCTGTGCCTCGGGGCTCTTCCTGTAGCAGCGTATGTTTCCACCCCCCAGGCCTGGGGACTTTACAGGCTTTAACTGAGGCCCTAACAGCTCCCCAGTGAAGACAATTAGCTGCTAAACGCCTCCCTGCTCGCCGCTGTTTGTTTACCGCCGGCCCGCCATGTCGACGGCGTGTTTGCGCTTTGTCCTCGGCCGTGTTGAGCCGTGTAGCGCAGAGCCGACAGGTTCGTCCGGGGACTCGAGAAAAGAGGAGAAACAAAAAGAAAAACAAGTTTGTTGATGTAAAAGCTGCACTGACTTTATCTGATCCCCTGAACGCCACTCAGGTTTCCACAGTCACTGTTTTCCTGTTTTCACAATAAAGGTTTTTGCTATAAGAGAGTAAAATTAAAGTGCTGGTGATTTTATAAACTGTTTTATTTATATTTTCCATTTATTACTGAGATAACAATGTTTTTACTCTACAAACAGGCTCCAATTTACATAAATTCAAATTTTACAGAATACATCTGGTAAAAAAAAGAAGTATAAAGTTAGTGGAAACCTAAAAATACAACAAAACATAATTAAAAAAGTAAACTAAACTAACTGACACCACTCGCGTCTGTATTTAATGACCTTGGAATGAGAGAGTCTGCAAGGTGTGTAGAAGAAACTACGGTTGCTGTGAAACGTGCAAACAAATAAAATAAAATAAAGGCCTTACCTAGATCCAGTGTTTGGTTTGTTCCTTCTGGGCTACTGCAGAAACATGGTGGTTCAATGGCGGACTCCACCAGAAGAGGATCAGGTAACAAAAACATGTTGATTCTTATTATCAGGTGATTAAACACTAATAAAAACATACCTCTGATTATTATATTACAGTAATGTGAACTTTAAATGACATTAGTGACTTTAACAGAATAGATTCAGGAGGTAGTTGTACGTACGTTACTCAGGGGCAGAAACAGCCTGCACACTCACTGACACATTTAATCCGACATCCAACAGATCATATTTATAAAAGTGAAAATACATGTTCACTGTCACAACCTGACAAAGTGTCCACAAACACAATTTATTAACCCGTCTGCATACTCAATACAACCACAGACACCATGCAACAAACATTCAGTTAAGATAACGGATAAATAAAAGAATGTTCATAACAATAAGAAAACAACAGCTAACTAAATCAATCAATCATTCACTTTATTAAAGCCAGAAAGGAGCCACAGACTGTAATATCTTCTCTCCCCGTCAATCCAATCCTTAAAACATCCTGTCAGACGGACCCAGAACCTCTTCTGTCCGCTATCAGACCCAGAACACACACAGCTGGAGATTCATTTACTCTATTTGAAACACATTATTCAGAAGTAGTTTAAACTTTGGGTCCAGTAGCAGTTTATACTGAACTGAACTGAACTTTATCATCTTTATCAGAATGCTTGAAACCATATTTACAGATTATATATTATCGATAGGCTGAGCAGCTGTGTGGTGGAAGGTGGTGAATCCCCCAAAAACTAGAGATATATAATAATATACTTTCAAATATCAATACACATAGACACATATATTAAAATCTACATCAGCTACATTCAGAATATATAAAGCATATTGTAGAAGAATAAATCATCATGCACTAAACCCTTGTGTTTCAGTTTAATAACGACGTCCTGCAGGTGAACGAACACGCCGACTGCAACCTTGTTTTAATGATCAGGATGAAATGTGCTGTATGAAAGTTTTACAAGAAGTATTAAAGTGAAGGTTTGGATCTGCTGGACGACAGAGAACAAAAGAAAGAGCTCTCAGATCATTTGGGACTTTGACTTCAGCCGCTCGTGGACGTTCAGACGTCTGTGGACTTGTCCTCGTCGACACCAGCTACATATTGAAATCTCCATTTTTAGCGCCGAGACGTGGAGGCCATTTGCACGGAGAGCCGGGCGACGGCCGAGGTCGTGCCGAGACACATCGTCCATCAGGGTCCCCGTAAAAACCTCCTGCAGAGTCTCTGACTGCTGCGGACGATTCACAGGAATATATGAGGTGTTATTTTATAATCGAGTCTCATTTCTGATGAAACCTGTCTGAACTTTACACACAAAACTTCTCCAGTGCAGCAACAGGCGGTGTCTGGACAACAGCAAACAGGAGAGCATGAAGGACTGTAGATCGTTGGAAAAAGGAGGAAGAAGTAAATAAAGAGAAAGTCTGACAGGAAGAGGGAAAGAAGGTAAGAAGCTTTTAAAATAAGAAAGAACTAAAAGAGGAAATAATGAAGTTTGAAAGGAATAAAAGAGGAAAAAGAAAGAAAGATTAGAAGAATGAATGAAGGAAAAAGGAGGACGGACCAAATGCAGAACAGATTGAATGGATGGAGGAAAAGAAAGGAAGGAAAGGGGGATAAACAGGCCTCCTGTGTGTGAGAGAAGATGAAGATTATCTGTAAAATAAACACATTTTCTCTTTGAACTGTTTCAGTGTGTTTTTATGGGCTGTGGACAATCTTAGCTCAACTTTCTGCATTTCACCTCTTTCACATTGAGTTTCTCACAGAATCAAAACAACTTCATCAATCGTTGAATTCATTTCAAATTTGATTTAAGTTTCCTCTGACTGCAGAACCGTCCTCTGTCAGTTTATAGTCCATAAAGCTAATCAATAACATATAAACTCCTCCATAAGCTGCATTTCTCACTACTGACACAAACGTGGTCGGACGACATTCCCGCCGCAGGAAGCTCATGAAGACGTTACCGTCGTCTGTCAGCTCCTTTCATCTGCGGCGAGTCAGAGACGTCCTGATGTCGACAGCTTTAAACACAGCTCGCCGTGCTTCCTGTCAGCTGATGAAACGCTGACCGACCGTCTCTGACACTAACGTACGGTCTGTGATCGCTCGCCGTGAAGCGAAGCGATGACAGCGGCGAACCCTCTGAAGACGATGACACAAACACAAAGTATTTTCAAGTAATTTGCTGTCAGTGAGAAATAATGTGCTGCAGTGATTAGCACTCATTCTGCGGAGTGGCACATTGATACCAATATATTATTGGATTAATAGTTTTATTGGCTCGTTTCAGTCACGCTGAATGAGTCTGGAGGAAGCTAGCTATCTGCTAGCTTAGCATTAGTGTTAGCTTTGACTTTGGACTGTGTGTTGTGGTGGGTTTACAGACGGGATCAAACAGCTGAAAGCCTCCTTTCAGTCTGTAATTGAAGTAAATTCTTGTAAATCAAAGTTGAAATGTAGACGGGGACTCCCTGGAACCCCTCGAGGACCCCGGGAGGCTCCAGACCCTCAGATTGAGAACCACCGCTGTACTCGCCCCAAACTGTCACTCAGCGCGCCGGAGCGCCGGCGGCGTACAGTCATCTCCTAAACGGTAATTTATGTGTTGTTGTGGAGGACAAATTGCTGCAGGAGGTGCACCATTAGCTAAACTGCATTTCACAGCAACGTGTTTTCACCTGCAGCACAGCTATGCCAAAAATGTCATAACTCAGCGCCGGGCCGCCGCCGGGCCGAGAGTCAGCTTTTATAGGAGGGAGGAGAGAGGGGGGGGGGGGGGAGAGAGACAGACAGAGAGAGAGAGAGAGAGAGAGAGAGAGAGAGAGAGAGAGAGAGAGAGAGCACTCATAAACAGCATTAATGTAAGTAAACACAAACACAGTAATGATGAGACTGATATTAATTAAACTTTACTGTTACTGACTCATGTTTTATATTTAAAGTCCAGAAGAAATAAAAACATTTCTTTATATTTTTACATTAAATCCAATCATTGTGTCTTCCTGTGAAACGTCAGCATGAACTGATTTCAATCAATAATATTCACCCGCCAATCAATCTTCAACTTTCAGTGACACAGAGCTCACTGGTTACTGTACAGACACAACTTCATCAGAGATTTGAGATGGAGACAATATTATCTGGTTTTCCCTCTGACGTCCTCCAGCTAACTGCTAATGTAGCTGCCGCGTTCGTTTTGTCTCGTAATCGCGACTTGCAGCTCGAGAGCGACGTCACATCCGTGTTGGAGAACGAGTAACCGCGGGTCTTTGCGTTCTGTTTGTTTGGTCTACTGATTCACACGTTCATTATTACGCAATCATTTTTTGGCACTGTTGTCATACTGTCAAGCTCGGCTTTTTCAACATGGAGCGTCTCGAGCCACTTTCAGCTGCACGAGCTACAAAGTAACTAATGAGGCTCATTAACTCACAATGAGACTGTAGCAACAGTGTACAGTGCTGTGGGTACGACCTCTTCATCAGTGTTCACTGTGACACGAGTTCGTTAATACGACCTCTTCATCAGTGTTCACTGTGAGACGAGTTCGTTAATACGACCTCTTCATCAGTGTTCACTGTGACACGAGTTCGTTAATACGACCTCGGGAGCGTTCTGTTTGCAACTTCCGCTTCGTCCATCGGAGATCGAGTTCGAGTACGCTGCCATTAGCTAACTGCTAATGTAGCTGCCGTTAAGAACCTTTCTGTGTAACGTTATCTGTTTCTGGCTTCGTGCTGCAGCATTATCTGAGTTTCCCCTCTAGGATCAATAAATGATTACTTCATCAATCAATAAGTGTTAGATATTTTATAGATATTTCCTGGTTCCATAGATTAGAGTTTGTTTTAGATCATTTTACAGTTATTCACACGTTCATCACCTGTTGGCAGCAGAGCTCATTAAATTGGTAACAATTATCTCTGACTGCAAACATCCCATAATTCCCATAAACTGTCCCTCTATTGGACTTATTGATCATTATTCATTATATAATATACTCACACTATATTTTATTCTATGATATACTGATACATTATAAATTATATATGATAATGTTATTCTGTTGGTACATTACAACATTTTTATTCACAATAACATTTATTATTATTATTATTATTAATAAATCTATAGAAACAGTTAAAAAGTATGTTTAACTCTTGTTTTATTGTCTTTGTCTCTTGATGAATTACACTTAGTTACATTTGTATTATTAACACAATATCAATATATTTTATTTTTAATACCAGTTTACTGCGACATTCCTATTTTATACTATATTATATTAACACAAAGTATCATTATTAATCATATTAAATTATATTCTGCTGTTATAGATGGTCTCTATAGACGCTACTTTAGTATCAGTTTGTACTTGTTAGTTTATAGTTTATATTTTTATTTCTGTTCTTATTTTATAAGTTTTAATTATTTTAAATTACTTATCTTTATTTCTGTTTTATTCTGTGCTGCAGGAACACCTGAATACCCGTTGGATTATCTAATCTTATTTAATCTTTTAATTTATCTTCTATCATCTATAATCTTACATAAAGAATATTTACGTGTTACAATCTCTTTACTTCCTGTTTCAATGAACTTTAAATCTGAATGATCCGTCGTTACTGAACATTTTCTCTGATTGTTTTCTGACAGATTTGTTTCAGTCTGCGTCCATTAAACATCAGCGTGGATGTGAACGTTCCTCCAGCTCATTACAAACAGCACAGCGCCCTCCAGTGGCCGGACGCTGAACCACACCCTGTCTGTAGACACACTGCCAGAGAGTGCACGCTCCTGCATGTGGGTTCAAAATGTTCCTTCACACACAGCTGCTATAATCTATCATCTATCATCTGTAATCTATATATATATATCTTATAAATAAAAGTACATTATTATTATTAGAGAGAGTGAGAGAGACAGAGACAGAGGGAGAGACAGAGAGAGAGACAGAGGGAGAGAGAGAGAGAGATGATACACAGCAAAGAGCCAGAGTCGAACCCACGGCTGCTGCAGCTCTGGTACATCAGATGCCAGCAGTGGGTAGTAATAGATTACAAGTAACACGCATGAGTAAAAAGTATTTTTTTAAGGAACGAGTACTCCTCTTTACTCCAGTAAATGTTTGAGCCAGTAATCGACTCTTCCCTCCATCTCTACCTTTGTTACAGCGAGCGTGAAGTAACTTCCTGTCTTTGAACCACAATGCGACGATGGCGGAGCAAAACCCAGAAGAAGAAGAGGCAGCTTCCAGCGACAACCCCTGGACACATCTGGACACATCTGGACTCTTTTAATACTGAACACTGAAAAACACAGAAATCTTTCAGCTTTTAAAAGCACATTAAAGTTTCAGTCTGTAGGTGAACAGGCAGCTCCATAATGCTCAGAGTGTTAAATGTCTAATATACATTTATAATATTATTATTATAATATTAACTCTGACTGAAGCTCCTAAGATAACATAATGCTAACTTCAGTTCTTTACTTACACCAGATGGATGAATTATTCTGTTTTCCTGAGAGGTGAAAGTAAAGTACTGAAGATAAATTAGCTGTTGCACTCAACATTTAATTATATTATTATTATTATTTTGTTATTTTCATTTTAAAGTCACCAGTAAGCAGGAAACAAAGTCTGATTTAATGTCGACACGTTATTGTCAATAAAGTTTATAAGAAACATTCAGCATCAAGTCAAACAGCTGGAAAACAACAATAACGCTTGTTCTTCTTTTTCTATCACTTCTTTATTGGCAGCTGGTCTCTGATTCTCCCTTTAATGACGCTACAGCGACTCTCTGTCGCCTCCGGAGGAACGGAGAGATTACGAGACAGGACGAGGGCCGGAGCTAGCTGGTTAGCATGCTAACTTCAGTAAATATCTTATAACATCTTATAACATCACCACTGTTACTGATCTCCACTTATTGATGATCATTTAAGTTGATTTTTGAAAGTTTTTAACTAAAATTATTACAGTTTCTTTAATGTTTTTTTTTTTTTTTATCTCTGAGAACTTCCGGAGCATCTGTTGTGTTTATACTTCTGTTATTTATGTTATATTACTGCTATACTGTCCTTCCTATACAGTCAGTGTGTGTGTGTGTGTGTGTGTCTGTGTGTGTGTGTGTGTGTGTGTGTGTGTGTGTGAGAGAGAGTGTGTGTGAAATGTCTGTCAGGTTTGGTTCAGAAGCTTCCAGCAGCAGCGAAGCAGCCAATCAGAGTGTGACAGACGAGTGAGAGTCCGACCATCTGTAGGTGGACTGATGCCGACATAGTCACACACACACACATATATACACACACACACACACACACACACACTCAGTCACACACACACACACACACACACTCACACACACTCAGTCACAGTCACACACACACACACACACACACACACACACACACACATTCTCATCCACGAGCTGCAGATTATAAAAATGTGGAAGTAACTGATTACATTTATAACTGTAGTTTCCTGATATAGTTTATAGACGGAGTGTTGTTTTGTTTACATTCAGAGCACATTGTGTGCGTCATGGAGGCTTATTAACAACAACAATAATAACAATAATAATAATAAGTTGTCTTCTTCTTTGCGTGTTGCTGCTCGTTACTGCCGCCTGCTGTCAGTTTGTTGAACAGCAGGAAGCTCGTTGTGTGATGTGCGAGTCCACCATTATCTCTATCTGTATCTATAATGTATTCATACTCAGAATGAGCGGGAACTTTACTTCCTTTAAATTAATATAAAGTAACATTTACTCTTTCTTCAGTGTAACTAGAGGCAGGAACATGGCGGACTCCGCCAGACGAGGACACAGCTCATTCTAACAGAAACACAATAATTCTTATATCCAAGTGATGAAAAACCATACCTGTGAACATTATATTACATTTCTAACAGTTTATTAATAATATTTAAACATTTAAAAATTACCACCAGACAGATCCAAGAGTCCTGATCCACCTGTGTATCTAATCTGAGTTTATTCCGACATTAACAAGCAGCATTAGAGACGTTCGCTGGTGTTTTCACTGCGTCTGGTCCCTCAGTGTTTTATTAGCCGGGTAGTGAATATGATTACAAGCTCTCATCCTCCAGTTTATCTTTTATTTTTTGCTAATTGCTGCATAATAGAAGCATAATCCCCCACATTCATTAACAAAGGCTGAAAATTAAGTGTTAGCAGCACATCTGCTCCCGAGCCCTCGGCGTCTGTAAATACGTGTGAACCGGCGCCGCCCGGCTCTCTTCGTTATTGCTTTACTATTTCCATTATCTTATATTACTGCTGAGAAAAAGCATTATAATCACCGAGCGGGGAATTAAAAAATTAGCACAAAGCTGCGACGCAGGAGTGCTGCTGGTGTCTATTTGTGGCGGCAGAGAGGTGTTTTTTTCTTTCTGTCGCAGTCACCTCCAAGAAAAGGTGAAAATTGCACCCGGGGGGGAACAGCTTTGAGTCGGGGAGGAGGGATTCACCCCATCCTCTTTGTCTCAGTCGCTGGCTTGTCCCCAAAAATCCACAACTGTACCACCAGAGCTACAGAGGACGGAGACGGGCCTCTGGGGGCCTCCGGGGGCCTCCGGGGACCAACGGGCTGAATCCAGAGAATCCACACGTGTTCAGACGACACACGGAGGCAGAAACATCGGCAGTAAACAGGAAAAGGAAAAACAAACTGTTACTTTAAGGGTGAGAAAAGAGCAAACGTGTCTGTGAAAATCAGTCAGGATGCAAACGTTGGTCAGACTCAAACATCTGTTCAACACAGCTGCTGCGAACGGTTCCTCCTGGGCCCGGTTCCTGTGGCACAAATATCTGCTGATCACAATCACATATATTAATGTCGGCCTGGAAAAGCTCCAGAATGAAGATATTACTAAAAACACATTAACAGATGCTCACATCTAAAGGGGTTTAAAAAGTCTCAATCAATACAATTCTGAATTAAACTTGTTTTTCCGGAGCTGATGGAAGTGAGTGGGTTGGACTCCTGAGGTCAGATAGATCAGTTATTAGATGAGATGCCATGCTGTTAACTAGCTAACTGATGAATGTTTGCTCTGTGAGGCGAACAGTTGAAGATTGATCGACGGGTGAATGTCAGGATACATATTCTGTTTCACAGGAAGACATAATGGTTGGATTTTGATATAAAAACACAAAGAAATATATATATATAAATTGTTGAACAGGGGAAGCATATAAGTGAGGATGAGCTCTGAAAGAGTTAAAATAATCTGATATGGACTGTAGAGTGGGACTGCTGTTGGGGTTGGGTTGGGGTTAGGGGTTGGGGTTGGGGGTTAGGGTTGGGGTTATCTGTGACCTTTAGCAGTGCTACCACCACTCAGCGAACGTTCAGAGCGTATGAAAGACACGGGGACTCACTGAGTTGATGTTTCCTGAATTATAAAGCAGAATTCAAATGATTTGAACTGTTAGTTCAGATAAGACGTTGCGTGCTCCGTCCCCGCTGACTGAATGTGAGCATACAGTCGGCTCTGTCGTGGCTCTGCTGCTGGATAATAACTGCACAGAGCTTTCATTAGCAGATCCACAGCGGCTCATTAGGAGCAGGATGACAGGCTAACAGTCTGTAATGGCCTGCTGTTTGAACTCACTAATGGCTCCGCTACCCTCTGATCCATCACTCAGGTACAGCACACCTGCGTTTACCTGCACTCCCGCTGCTGAGCGTCTCCTGCCGCCGTGTTAAAAGTCGCACCGGTAACCGCTGAACACGCAAATGAGGAGAGAAAAAGAAGTGAGAGAAGAGTGTATGTGGCGGTAATGTACACGGGGGGGGGGGGGCTGTGATCTCGCCTCCAGCTGGAAACACTTCCTGTAAGTATTTATTCATTTCTGTATCTTGTTGCTTTAATTAAAGACGACTCGAGAGCTTCAGAGTTTCAGATTTATATAAATACTGAATATGGTACAAACACACGGTGCCGCCGGGTCTGAAACCAGTTCCACAGCGCGCCCCCCAACATCAGAACCGACAGACCGGATCCAGCAGGGTCCAACAACAGACGGTTGATTTCTATAAAACCTGCTCCAGTTCTTCTTCAGGGCGGTTGATCCCTCACAGGCTTCCCACCAACACACACAACAAATATGTTTCAATGATGGAAAAGTTTTTACCCCGAAGCTCCAAACACGAGACCACTGGGCCCTGAGTGCCGACTGGGCCCTGAGCACCGACTGGGCCCTGTGCGCCGACTGGGCCCTGGGCGCCGACTGGGCCCTGAGCGCCGACTGGGCCCTGAGCGCCGACTGGGCCCTGTGCGCCGACTGGGCCCTGGGCACCGCCTGGGCCCTGAGCACCGACTGGGCCCTGTGTACCGACTGGGCCCTGAGCACTGACTGGGCCCTGTGTACCGACTGGGCCCTGAGCACTGACTGGGCCCTGGGTGCCGCCTGGGCCCTGGGCGCCGACTGGGCCCTGGGCGCCGACTGGGCCCTGGGCGCCGACTGGGCCCTGGGTGCCGACTGGGCCCTGAGCGCCGACTGGGCCCTGGGTACCGACTGCAGGCGTACAGTAATTATGTTATTTTATTTATGAGATGATTAAAAGATAAAAGCGACATATTGAATATAAATATATATATATATAGTCACGTCTTAAGTTAGGTAATGTTAGCTTTCATGTTGCTAATATTAGCTGTAACTGGTTAGTTAGTGTTTTGAGTGAGATAACTAACTAACTAACAACTTAACTAGTTAAATGATTGATGTAGATTAGCTAGCTAGTTATCAAGTGTTTTACTAACATTAGTGAACTTTATATATAAATGTCTCTTTTTATCTTTTAACCATCTTCAAACTGTGGATGTCTTTCCAACATAGATTAGCTTAGCATGTAGCATATCCAAGTACAGGAAAGCAGGAAGTTGACTGAGGCTAGCTCAACTGCTATTGGTGCACAGAGCTAAAAGGGGGCGGGGCTTGTGATACGGTTCATTCTCATTGGTTCTGCAGCAGGTCCCTCGTAGAGGTTCAACGTCCCATCAGCTGTAAAAGTGGATCAGACTCTGAAGCTGTTTATAAAAAATATGTTTTCAACAAAATTTTAAAAATGAATCAAAAATACTTTAAAATAACATTTCTCCAAAATAAATACAGTTTCTCTCCGGGTGTGAGGTCGTTCATCAGGTCGACCTGAACCGAGACATCCAATGAACCTTTAGGACAACAGGGACAGTCATCATCCTCCTCCTCCTCCTCCTCCTCCTCCTCCTCATCACCTCTCTGTCTTTTAAATCACTTCTCATAACTTACATTAGAAATAATGACAGTAATTATACATTTTAAATTATAATTTCCAACATTATAAAGACAGGTTGGATTAAAACTCCCTGCTACAGATTACATTAGTCAATCTCACCACAACGTCTTTTAGAAGAGGTTCTGGACCTTTTGATCAGATCACATGATCTTCAACAGAGACCCAACTCCAGAGACAGAAACACTCATTTTACCTTCAGATCATCGTAACTTCATTAAAGTGGACAGAAACAGAATCAAACTGATTAAAAGCGTCTCTGTTAGTGTTTCCAACAATCACCAACTCTGGTTTGGTGGAAATAAATCCTTAATTCATCGACGTAGATGATAAAAACAGCAGTTTCAGTCGGAGCAGACCGGCTATGGAAACAAACCACAGAGAGGCTGCGATACAACACAGGCAGAGGGGAGAGAAGTGACCCTGTGACTCTGTATATAGAGAATATAATGTTTAATATCTCATATAAAACCTTTGAAGGACGAGTTAACGACCTCCATTTGCTGAGGAAGATCATGTGATCTGATCTAAAGCTTGTGGCGAGGTTGTTTTGGCACTGGGAACTTTATCAGAGGTTTTTATTTACAGACCGAACTGTTGATGGATGAATCCACTGCTGAGTGGAAACCAACCAACGTCTCAGAGATGTTGGATTCAAATATTAATGTCACGTGACCGCGGCGCCCGGCTGAAGGTCGCTGCCGCTAACAAACCGTCTGATAACCTGCTACAGTTGAGTTCAGCTTGGTTTGGCTCAGTTTACTTTGAACATGTTCACCAAAGAAAATTAATCTAGAGACGGAATTAGGAAAAAGATCTTGTAATTATAAAATACTGAGATACAGAAATCAGAATTATTAAATAAAGTCTCCAGTTTCTTTGTGTGTGTGTACACAAACACACTGCGTCCACTAACGGAAACACACTGCGTCCACTAACGGAAACACACTGCGTCCCCTAACGGAAACACACTGCGTCCACTAACGGAAACACACTGCGTCCACCAAAGGAAACACACTGCGTCCCCTAACGGAAACACACTGCGTCCCCTAACGGAAACACACTGCGTCCACTAAAGGAAACACACTGCGTCCCCTAACGGAAACACACTGCGTCCACTAAAGGAAACACACTGCGTCCACCATAGGAAACACACTGCGTCCACTAACGGAAACACACTGCGTCCACTAACGGAAACACACTGCGTCCACCAAAGGAAACACACTGCGTCCACCATAGGAAACACACTGCGTCCACTAAAGGAAACACACTGCGTCCCCTAACGGAAACACACTGCGTCCCCTAAAGGAAACACACTGCGTCCACTAACGGAAACACACTGCGTCCACTAACGGAAACACACTGCGTCCACTAACGGAAACACACTGCGTCCACTAACGGAAACATTTAGACGCCTTATCTTACCTAATTATCAGATAATAACTCATCATAACAATAAGAAGATAATTATGAGATAAGGAGTCTAATTGTGAATTAAATGCTCTGTACCTCCGTTCAAGAGAGAAACACTATAAAAAAATAAAAGCACATACTGCCCCCTCCCCCCCGGCAGATAAATTCAGCAGGAAACTAAAAATAAGACGAGATACTGACGAACTATTTTCTGTTAAAATGTTAAAAATCTGAAGTCACAGTTTGATTCTTTCTACTCGGCCCCGTTTGCACAAACCCAAAAACAACTACACACACTTTAAGTTCACATTCACACCAGCTGGTACTGAAACCGACCAATGAGAGAGTGTCTGTGTGGTCAGAGGTCAGAGTTCAGAGGTCAGACACCGACCGGTCCACGTCCCCGCTCGGTTCAGGAGTTCTGTTCATGAGCAGTTTGAAACCATCAGCCGGTTTATTGTTGAGATGTACCTGATGAGGAGGAACTGTATCCTGGGAATCAATCAATCAATGATCAATACGTCCGTTTGTACCATCATTGATTCCAGCTGCAACCATTAAAACCACGACCAGCGTTTCCACGAAGGATCCGTGCAGCGCTGCCGGATCATAAAACCCTCCAGGTGGACCGGCGGGGCCTCGGACCCCCCCGTCCTGAGTACGTCCTCTATCCCAGAAGACACCAGGGCGTCTGGTTCTGGTCGCACTCCAGCTTGGTGTTGATGACGGTGCAGGGAGCGCCGCTGATGGTCAGCTCCTGCCTGGACTCCACCTGGTAGCGGAGGTTCGTCAGACCCCCCTCCGGATCCACCTTGAACTGCTCCTACGGGGGAACGAGGACGTTAATGAGAAGATAAAGCAGCCAGTGTTTTATAATGTGTGGCTGTAAACATCGAACTGTTGGACCTGTTTCTGAGCCGCGACTCTCTTCTGGTCTCTCTTCCTCCAGGCCGGGTCGTGGATGTGGAGGAAGGTTTTATATCCGGTTGTGATTCCGCTCGGTCTGAACAGCTGCGGAGACAAACAGCAGACACTGAAACAACCGACGGAGAGGTAAACGATAGAACCTTTCTGACGAGGTCCGATGAGCTCTTCTACCTGGAGCTCCGCTTTCCTCAGTCTCCTGTAGAACTCGTCGTCCTCTCGGCCCCAACCCCAGAACCGGTTCGACATCCCGTTGCACTGAAAAACAAACAGGAAACAGTTTTATTTCCTGCTTCAGAGCCAGTAAAAGACGGGAAACAGCCCCCGACCTGCACTGTGCACACTAATATCTCACTGGGTCAAACAGCTCCACCTGGTGGACACTTTAAGTCATTACAGCTCACTGTTAGAAAAAGATATAAGGTATATTTTCTCATAATTAGGAGATAAGGTGTCTAATTTATGCACTTCCATACCTCTGTTCAAGAGGGAAACACTATAAAATGTTTTATTCAAGCTGTATCGTACAAACAGATTTCAATAAAAAGACAAAAAGAGGGATTTACTCTCTTTATGGATGTTTGGTCGGTGAGAGGAGTTTAGTGATTGTAGCACAGAGACACACAGAAGAAGTCGTGTGGATGTTATTACTGATATTCTCTCAGTTTTATGTTCACAACTTTAAACGCCTCGCACATCAAAACAACGAGAAAAGACCAAGTTTGGTGGAGCAGCGTGGGATTATGGGAGTTGTTGTCTTCAGTACCATGCTGTAATGTTTCTTGGTGAGCAGCAGGATCCCTCCCACGTAGGTCTTGTAGTGGTACAGCGGGTGCAGCTCCGGCGAGGCCACGTGGAACGGCCCCTCCTCGGGGAACCCGTAGTCCAGAGCCTCGTTCAGGGGCAGCAGGTCCACGTCGTGCATCGCCAGGTAGTCCGTGTCGTTGCCGCTCTCCAGCTGACCCACGTTGATCAGAGACGCTCGGTTGAACCTGAGACAAACAAACAAACAAACAAACAATAAAACCTCTGTGTGTGCAGCGTGGGGGGGGTAGTTCGACCTCCTCACCTGTAGTGGTCCACCTGGTTGATGACGAGGATCTTGTGGCGGATCTTCTTCTTGTTGAGGAACGTGTGCATGAAGGGGACGAACACCAGCAGCTCCTCGAAGCGCTCTCTGAAGGGGACGATGAGGGCCAGTTTGTGAGGACCCCAGGAGGGGTCGTCCACCGCAGACGCCTGACTGTTGGGCGGGCAGGGCGGCGGCGGCGGCGCCTGCTGGAGGGGGGGGCGTCTGTCAGACATGTCGCCTGAACAGCTGAGCTGCAGCCAGAGCAGAGAGACGAGCAGCAGCACCATGCAGAGGCCGAACAGCTTGTAGACCGTACATTTACCGGACAGGAACCTGAGACACAGCGGGACAGCAACGGTCAGCGGCGGCAGCACTTATTGATCGTCAATAAATAAAGATCAATCCTCGGGACCCACAGGCGTCTGAGTAATGGAGCAGCTACACTCCTCTGCCATCCTACAGTGAAAGTTACATTTCCCGCAGAGTCAGAGGCTCCAGCAGCAAACAGGAAACACTCGTTTATCTGACCCACCAACAGCTCTTATTATTGATATATATATTATTAACACATATTGATCCTGTATTGACAGTCAGACTGTGGACATATGACGGCCTTTAGCTCGTGTTTCTAGAGTTACGTGTTGTTACGAACACGTTAGGAATTGTTAAAATGTGATATTTCTTAAAGGGAGTTTGGTGCAGGGAGCTTTTAGTTGGATTCAAACTGCTGATATGGATCATTGTTAACGTTTAGTCTCCACTACAGAAACACTAGCTAACTGCTAAAGGCTGATCAGGTTGTCTGACGCTGACTGCTGTTAGTTATTAGTCTGATTGATGTGATTATTAATTACTGATAATAGTTGCTCTTTATGTGCCTGTTTTAAACTAATTTGATGATTTAAAAGACACACATTGCAGCAGATTAGATAAAGTGATTGTAGTTGTTATTAACGCATTAGCTCACAAACAGTCGTATCATTTACCAGCAGGCTAATATTGACTTTAACTCCAGTTTTATTCTTTGTCTCAGGATCAACAGCTTTCTGTAGGTGATCTGAAACACTTCCAGGATATTTGGTCATTTTAATCCATTTCCAGGTTTTTCCAGGACGTGTGGGAATTAAATCCCCCCAGCAGTATAAAGTATCACAGCTAGCTCCAGCTGTATATGATACCACATTTATTATAAATGCACTTTAATCAGCTCTCACTGTTCATTGTATCAGCAACCAGAACAAACATACTGCTGCTTCAACATAACGGAGCAACTTAAAGACAGCTTTATAACACACACACACACACACACACACACACACACACACACACACACACACACACTGGAAACCTCTCTGTGTGTGTGTGTGTGTGTGTGTGTGTGTTTACTCACTTCTCCTCCGGATGGGGAACTTTAGAGATCTCATTTCTTTAAAGGCCAAAAAACAGTTTAAGACTTCCCTGTCTTATTTTTACATCATTATTATTATTGTTGTTGTTATTATTGTTGTTGTTATTATTATTGTTGTTGTTGTTGTTGTTGTTGTGAATGAATGAGCAGGATTAAACTGTGATGTATCAGCTGACACCCACAGTAAACAACCGAAGAGTAAAAACAGAGAGATATCTATCTTACCTTCTCTCCTCTCTGAAGTAGAGGACAGGCTTTCTCCTCGAGGAGTACATCATCTTTACAACCACCCACCCGGAGCAGAGGTCGAGTCTTACAGTAGATAAACGAGCCTTCACTCCTCCATCCTGCCCCAGCCGTTAGCTGTCCTCCATGCTAACTCCGTGCTAACTGTGTGCTAACTGTCCGACCGCACAAACCCTCCGGCGCATAAACATTTGCTCGGTGAACTCAGAAATTAACGAATATAACCGGTTGGTCCTGTCTGCCTGCCTGTCTCTCTGTCTGTCTGTCTGTCTGTCTGTCTGCCTGTCTGTCTGCTAACGGCTAACCCTGCCGTTAACTGTTACTGTACACGTAGCATGTAGCGGTGCACACGGATCGCCGCTCCGGGTTCAACATCGTTTTACTTTGCCGACTTTACCCGAAGGTTACCGACTGTTACCGAGTGGATTTAGACACTACACTCAACAACGATCACAACAACAATCGATCGGCGAATTATTTAATGATCATTTCAGGATGAAAATTATTAAACAGAAGCCGATTGTAATAGTGTCCGACGGGTAAATGTGTCCGGGCGGCAGCTGCGGCAAAAGCATTAAAGGTTCCTACCGGTATTTCTGAAACGTTTTTATTTAAATATATTTCAAGAACTGAAAATCTCCTCAAAATGTACTTAAAGCTAAAAGTTATCTTTATACAGAACGGCCCATTTCAGAAAAATGATTGTAATCCAATTCTAATTGATTAATCTAAGTGATTATATCAGGTATTATCAGTTATAATCGACCGGATAGATTATTTCCTCTGATTTAGACCAGCGTCTGTAAATCTGTTCCAGGACAGTTGTTGTATATATATTATATATATTTTATATTTTATATATTTTATATATTTTATATATATTTTATATATTTTATATATATTTTATATTTTATATATTTTATATATTTTATATATTTTATATATATTTTATATTTTATATTTTTATTGTATTATATTTTATTCGTTCTCTACTCTTTACACTTCACTCCCCAATATTTTAATATTATATAATACAATATTATAATTATGCTAAATTTAAAAAGAACACATAAAAACTACAACACCCAGCGTCCGCTTCCGGCGCGCTGATTGGTCAGACCCGTGCGATGGTTGACGTGGCATTGCTGTATCCGCGCATGCTCAGTCGCGCTCCCTCCCGGCAGGAAGATGGTGTCCGTGAGGATGAAGTCGTCGGTGCTGTCGGTGGTGCTCCTGAACCTCTTCTACAGCCTCGTTCCCGCGCTGTACTTCCACATCGGAGAGACCGAGAAGAAGTGTTTCATAGAGGAAATCCCGGACGAGACGATGATCATTGGTGAGTGTGAGCGCGCGGCGGCAGGAAGTCACCGGCTAATGCTAACGGCTAGCTCACCAACTTCAGCTAGGCGGCTAATCGGCTAACCGAGCTCAAAGTTGTGTTCCGGTTCCGAACAGGCGGTTCTGTGGACTCGCACTGACACTCAGCCTAGTTAGTTAACCACCTGTATGTGTTTCTGTGTTAAATAAAACGACCACGTTGGTCACATTAATGGAGATAATCTTATTTAAATAGGAAACAGGCTAACACCCAAACGGAGTGTGACTGTCCTCCAGCTGTTCACCTGCTGGTTCAGAGACAGGTAGTGAACACCTGTCTGCTGGAGCTCATCACACACACACACACACACACACACACTGCACAGGAAACACACAATACTTAATGTTTGTGATATTTTAACATCCTCAGGGTTTCAGAAGCTCCCAGTTCCAGACTCCTGATCTACATCCTATCACAATCAGCACACGTTACCTGTATCACTTCATACCTGCGTCATATTTGTGTCGCTGTTTATCCAGTAAAGTGCGCTTCGATTTACTTTAGAGCTTTTTCACAGCAGCCATTTTTACATGTAATATTGGGGTAAACACAGGCTGATTTATTGATCAGATATATCAGATACTTTTTGTTTGGCTGTTCACGTTATTGTTTTAGTGTGGCCCCGGTCAGATTCCCGTGTGAGCAGGTCACAGTCCATAGAAGTCCGGTTGTTCACACTGGAAAGAATCGGCCCTGAATCTGGTTTGGACCACATAGTGTCCCTAATCAGAACAGATCAAATGTGATCTGGGTCACTTTGGCCTGCAGTCAGTTAACGCAGCCTAATTAAGGCTCCGTTCCATTTAGTGTAGCAGAGCCTTTCCACATGTACAATAACAGCCACCCGACTCAGTTTGATATAATAACTGAGATCTGATTCGCAAACAAATGAAGGAATTGTTGCATCAGATGTTAAAATGTTTAAAACTGCTGAAATCATGATGATGTGACATTTGTGTCCTTACGTCTGTAGAGCAAGGTGTGACCTCTGCAGCTCTACAGTGCTTCTTTATAAAGCTGCATGTCACATTTATCCTTCATCAAACTGCAGCTTCTGCAATTTGATTAGTGCACGTGCGGTCGTACCGCAGGTTTGATCACACTTTGATCAATCCAGAATTCCTCACAGAAAACCTAGATATTTAGAGACTAGTTTTCCAGTCATGTTAAAACCTGATCAGTTGTTCAGCACCAACATAAAGGATCCCAGCCTTTTAGTATCAGTACCGATAGAATTACACCTTTAATTAATATCTTATTCTGATGAACATATTGGATGTGAGTCACTGTTTGTGTCTGCCACAAATTCATATTTAACTGGACGAGGCCGCCCTCGTTGGGCTGAATGATGTTCTCAGTAACTGAAGGTAGGAGTGGAAACGTATAACTCCCCGTCTGTCTCTGCAGGAAACTATCGGACTCAGCTGTACGACAAACAGCGGGAAGAGTACCTGCCGGCCACTCAGGGTCTGGGGATGTTTGTGGAAGTCAAAGATCCTGATGACAAGGTGAGCAGGGAGATGAAACGAGGACAGCGGCAGCGTCTGTGTGCTCACCGGTTCACCGGCTGTAACCGCTCTGTGTTTGTTTCCTGCAGGTGATTCTGTCCCGGCAGTACGGCTCCGAGGGGAGGTTCACCTTCACGTCGCACACACCTGGAGAGCATCAGATCTGTCTGCACTCCAACTCCTCCAAGTTCTCCCTGTTCGCCGGAGGCATGCTGGTGAGGAGACGCTCTTTATTCTGTGGTTAAACTTCAGTTCCTCTCTGCGTCTGCACGTTCAGCTATTTGCTCTCATTGAAATATTTTAACTCAATTTGCCCGAAGCCGACTTGCTTTTGTTTGACTCCGTTTCCATTTTATTTTAATAATGTTCATTTTCCGTGTCTGTCAGCGTGTGTTGTGTAATAATATAATTGAGGTGGTTCTTTACTCACCGCTGAACTCGTGTTGCAGAGGGTTCACCTGGATATCCAGGTAGGCGAACACGCCAACAACTACGCTGAGATCGCTGCCAAAGACAAACTGACGGAGCTGCAGCTGAGAGTCCGGCAGCTGGTGGAGCAGGTGGACCAGATCCAGAAGGAGCAGAACTACCAGAGGGTCAGTCTCTGTGGGTTTTAAACATCTACACAAGATTTATTGTCATTTATGTCTCGGAAGTTTGGACATTTTGGTTGTTTTCTTGTATAAATTTGTTGAAGGTCTTCTGGAAGTCTGTCAGTCTGAGGGATCAGTTGGGTTGTTAGTTCTGTAAAGCGCCTGCAGTTGTTGAGCGCCCCCTGCTGTCTGTCTGTCCTCTCTCAGTACCGTGAGGAGCGTTTCCGTCAGACCAGCGAGAGCACCAACCAGCGGGTCCTCTGGTGGTCCATCGTCCAGACCCTCATCCTGGTGGCCATCGGCATCTGGCAGATGAGACACCTCAAGAGCTTCTTCGAGGCCAAGAAACTGGTGTAAACGTTTCTCCCCGGGGGGGAGAGTGTGAGAGTCTGAGTCTGTATGAGTATGAGTGTGAGTGTGTGTGACTGTGTGTGAGTGTGAGAGTCTGCGTGTGAGTGTTTGGTCTCTACTGAGTGATGCAGTATCGAGCGGCGGTGGTGGCGGCGGCGGCAGCGGCGGTCACTGCTGTCGGAGGAGGAACTGCAGAGGAGACGGGATGCGGAGAATTCCAGCTGCACAATTTGGCCTGAAAACATCTTGAGATTATTGTAATTATTGAGCCCCTCACATTTGCAGTAGACTATCAGGGAAATGTGACATCTCTATTTATTACACAGGTTTCTTCTACGTTTATTTGTCCCCACTAAAGTTCTGCAGCAGCGGGACAATAGAACCAGCCAACCGGGCAGATAGTCTTCGTATTTGATGTGTTTGTTTAAATTGATTTTCTCCTTTGTTACTCACTGCGATGAGAACATGATGTGTTACTGGCCACTAGAGATGTTGGTGCATGAAGAAACAGAAGTTTGATTTACATGAAATATCAGTCAGGCCTCTGATAAAGACACAGTTTATAATCTGGATTCATTACGCAGGAATATCTTAATCCCTGATTGAACAACAGAAACAGATACTCGGGGACGTTTGGTAATAAGGAAGCACCGATACAGATGTTTTTGTTGTTATTTATTTGCCCTTTTGTGCCCGGAAACAAGATGAAAACTGAAACAAAGCGACAGACAAACATCAGCCGCTGATATCGGTGGATGGCGTTTTATCCACCGAGGGCGAATATCGGCCGGTCAATTGGTGCATCCCTGTTAGTAAATCGTTAACGCCTTTATTAGATTCTCCTCCGAACTTTCCTTCCTTGTTTCTGCTGCACATCCTGAAACACTGCCCCCGCTGGTCATGGGATTGACTGCATCCTGTGGACGTGCAGTGTTACGTGTATGCGACCCTTCTTAAGCCCCGCCCCTTTTTGAACCTCGGTCAACTTCCTCCTTTCCTGTACTCAGAGATGCTACATGCTAAGCTAATCTATATTGAAAAGACAACCACATTTAGAAGATGGTTAAAAGATAAGAGACGTAAATATAGTCACATCTTAAATTAGCAAGTGTTAGCGAAACACGAGCTAGCTGATCTAAATTAATTGTTAGTGTTTTGCTAACATTAGCTAACTTAAAATGTGACTATAGATTAGTCTCTTTAATCTTTTAACCATCTTCAAAATGTGGTCTTCTTTTCAACATAGATTAGCCTAGCATGTAGCATATTTAAGTACAGGAAAGGAGGAAGTGGACTGAGGGTTGCTCAACTGTGATTGGAGCACAGACCCAAAAAAGGGGCGGGGCTTGTGGACGGTTAATTGTGCCACCGGCTGTGAAATATTGAAGCTTTTTACCAGAACTTTGGCTCCAATACAAACACTGATTTAACTACCTGAACCACCAGGACAAAGTTCAAGGTTTCAGTTTCCACTGCAGAACCTTGGACGCTCGTTACGCGAGAGATGAGTAAAGTTTGGTTAAAATATTGATCATTTATGAGGTGACATATTGATCGAAGCGCTGCAAAAGATGAACATTTTAGTGTTTGTGACAGCGTTGTTCTCAGCTTTCAGACGCAGTTTGTGTGAAACCAAATGTTTCTGCCTGTGAGTGGATCCTTTCCAAACTACAGCTGCCAATAACTGTTCATCTGTCAATCATTTTCTCCATTGATCGACTCGCTGTTTGGTCCAGAAAATGGTGAAACATGTTGCTCAGCATCCAAAGTGACGTCCTCAGATGTCTCGCTTTGTCCACAACCCAAACACATTCAGTTTACTGTTAATATAACAATATAAAATATAATAAATATTCACATTTAAGAAGCTGAAATCAGAAAATTTGGACATTTTTCCTTTAAAAACGATGAATCGATTATCAGAATAGTTGGCGATTAATTTAATAGTTGTGGTTGCAGCTCTAGTGAGAACTGAATGTATGTTTCTGTTCATCTGATTCTGGCTAAAGGAAGAATATTCTCAATCTTCTGCCGGTCTTCAGGGCAGAAAGCAGAGTTCAGAGGGGCTTTAGATCTCGAGGCGTCCATTAAACCTCGGAGCCGCCCCGTATAGATCTCTGTCTGAGTCGTTCTTTTTGCTTTGAACCCATCGTTCGCGGTCTCTGCTGTATTAAAGGCAGCGTTTGAGAGCGATGTCAGAGTGTGGATTCTCCTGAAGGAAACCATTAAATGTAAAAATGCCCCAGCACTGCGTTGCCACCCGAAACCGGTCGGATGATCTTTACCTCAAAACACAAACTGTCTTCTACAGTCGCCCCTCTCTCTCTCTAAATGTTCAGCTTCCACGTGATCCTCAGTGAATCAACCTGAGGAGAGAAACACCTGAATCAGATTGTAAAGAAGCTTCGGAGGTTTTCATCTTCAGCTCTTCAGACTTTGGTTCCTTTTTACTCTTTCTTTCTTCCTCTCTGGTGGTTTGTGTTTTATGTTGCTGGTAGATTTCAGAAACGTTTATCGGGGTTAGACTTTGAATCAGTTGCTTAAGGCTGGAAAAGGGGCTTGGATTTATTTTTTTAGAGAGATTCTGTCCGTGTGAAATCTGTCTAAAATTGCACTCGAAATAAAGTTTTGTCACATTTGGTTTAAAGGACTGAAAGTTTCTTTTATTGTTGTCATTTTATCCATCAAACATCAGTTCAAAAGGTCTCTTTTGTGGTGTGTGTGTGTGTGTGTGTGTGTGTGTTACTGTGTGTGTGTGTGTGTGTGTGTGTGTGTGTGATGTTGTCCTTTAAAAGCTTCATTAAGGATCTTGGTGTTTTTGTGTTACTAAAGTTTCTCTGTCTTATTTCTATCTTATCACATTACAGTTAAGTATTATAAGAGAGAGAAACTAAATAAAATAAAGACAACTGTCTTCACTGAAGTTTTAAGTCAAACTTAAAGTTTAAAGTTTTGAAATATAAAAAAACATTTTGCTGATAATTTATTTTCTTCAGAAACAGTTACTGTTAAAATAACAGTCAGCAGGTTTTTCATTATATTGGTGCTTGAAAATTAAATAGCTACAATTAAAAATATTAAATTATAAATATAAATAATCAATTATATGATTTTCTTATGAAGAAAATATTAGTTTTTTCAAAAGAAAAAGTTTAACTTGAAGCCAGTTCTGTAATATCACATACAGTCTGTAGTATCACACAGTCTGTAATATCACACACAGTCTGTAGTATCATATAGTCTGTAGTATCACACAGTCTGTAATATCACATACAGTCTGTAGTACCATATACAGTCTGTAGTATCACACAGTCTGTAATATCACATACAGTCTGTAGTACCATATACAGTCTGTAGTATCACATACAGTCTGTAGGGGGCGGTGAGTCCACCCCGCTTATTTTTAACCAACACGAAGAAGATGTCACTTCCTCCCAAGCCGTTTCCATGGCAATCCAACATGGCGCCCGGTAAGTCTCTCGCTCTCTGTGGCTACAAACATTAACGTTAAACATTGAACTAATACCGTTAAACATTGAACTAATACCGTTAAACATTGAACTAATACCGTTAAACATTGAACTAATACAGTTAAACATTGAACTAATACAGTTAAACATTGAACTAATACCGTTAAACATTGAACTAATACAGTTACAGTTAAACATTGAACTAATACAGTTAAACATTGAACTAATACAGTTAAACATTGAACTAATACAGTTACAGTTAAACATTGAACTAATACAGTTAAACATTGAACTAATACAGTTAAACATTGAACTAATACAGTTAAACATTGAACTAATACAGTTAAACATTGAACTAATACCGTTAAACATTGAACTAATACAGTTAAACATTGAACTAATACAGTTACAGTTAAACATTGAACTAATACAGTTAAACATTGAACTAATACAGTTAAACATTGAACTAATACAGTTAAACATTGAACTAATACAGTTACAGTTAAACATTGAACTAATACAGTTACAGTTAAACATTGAACTAATACAGTTAAACATTGAACTAATACAGTTACAGTTAAACATTGAACTAATACAGTTAAACATTGAACTAATACAGTTAAACATTGAACTAATACAGTTAAACATTGAACTAATACAGTTACAGTTAAACATTGAACTAATACAGTTAAACATTGAACTAATACAGTTACAGTTAAACATTGAACTAATACAGTTAAACATTGAACTAATACAGTTACCGTTAAACATTGAACTAATACAGTTAAACATTGAACTAATACAGTTAAACATTGAACTAATACAGTTACAGTTAAACATTGAACTAATACAGTTACAGTTAAACATTGAACTAATACAGTTAAACATTGAACTAATACAGTTAAACATTGAACTAATACAGTTAAACATTGAACTAATACAGTTAAACATTGAACTAATACAGTTAAACATTGAACTAATACAGTTACAGTTAAACATTGAACTAATACAGTTAACGTTAAACATTGAACTAATACAGTTAAACATTGAACTAATACAGTTACAGTTAAACATTGAACTAATACAGTTACAGTTAAACATTGAACTAATACAGTTACAGTTAAACATTGAACTAATACAGTTAAACATTGAACTAATACAGTTAAACATTGAACTAATACAGTTACAGTTAAACATTGAACTAATACAGTTAAACATTGAACTAATACAGTTACCGTTAAACATTGAACTAATACAGTTACAGTTAAACATTGAACTAATACAGTTACAGTTAAACATTGAACTAATACAGTTACAGTTAAACATTGAACTAATACAGTTACAGTTAAACATTGAACTAATACAGTTAAACATTGAACTAATACAGTTACCGTTAAACATTGAACTAATACAGTTACAGTTAAACATTGAACTAATACAGTTACAGTTAAACATTGAACTAATACAGTTAAACATTGAACTAATACAGTTACCGTTAAACATTGAACTAATACAGTTACAGTTAAACATTGAACTAATACAGTTAAACATTGAACTAATACAGTTACCGTTAAACATTGAACTAATACAGTTACAGTTAAACATTGAACTAATACCGTTACCGTTAAACATTGAACTAATACCGTTAAACATTGAACTAATACAGTTAAACATTGAACTAATACCGTTAAACATTGAACTAATACCGTTAAACATTGAACTAATACAGTTACAGTTAAACATTGAACTAATACCGTTACCGTTAAACATTGAACTAATACCGTTAAACATTGAACTAATACCGTTAAACATTGAACTAATACCGTTAAACATTGAACTAATACAGTTACAGTTAAACATTGAACTAATACAGTTACCGTTAAACATTGAACTAATACAGTTAAACATTGAACTAATACCGTTAAACATTGAACTAATACCGTTAAACATTGAACTAATACAGTTAAACATTGAACTAATACAGTTACAGTTAAACATTGAACTAATACCGTTAAACATTGAACTAATACAGTTAACGTTAAACATTGAACTAATACAGTTAACGTTAAACATTGAACTAATACCGTTAAACATTGAACTAATACCGTTAAACATTGAACTAATACAGTTAACGTTAAACATTGAACTAATACCGTTAAACATTGAACTAATACAGTTAAACATTGAACTAATACAGTTAACGTTAAACATTGAACTAATACCGTTAAACATTGAACTAATACCGTTAAACATTGAACTAATACAGTTAACGTTAAACATTGAACTAATACAGTTAAACATTGAACTAATACAGTTACAGTTAAACATTGAACTAATACAGTTAAACATTGAACTAATACAGTTACAGTTAAACATTGAACTAATACAGTTACAGTTAAACATTGAACTAATACAGTTACAGTTAAACATTGAACTAATACCGTTAAACATTGAACTAATACAGTTACAGTTAAACATTGAACTAATACAGTTAAACATTGAACTAATACAGTTAAACATTGAACTAATACAGTTACAGTTAAACATTGAACTAATACAGTTAAACATTGAACTAATACAGTTAAACATTGAACTAATACAGTTAAACATTGAACTAATACAGTTACAGTTAAACATTGAACTAATACAGTTAAACATTGAACTAATACAGTTAAACATTGAAC